TAAGGAAGTCCATTATGTGGCTTCGCGAATTGCAGGCCCTGATTCCCCCTGACCAGGTGCGCGCACACCAGACAGTAGGCAAGCTGCTTGCCGCATCAGAATATGAAGCTGATGCATCTCTACATTCTGCCAGGTACTCCGCAAGGTCTATTGCGGCCACTGTTTCGTCCCACAGGTTACTGTGGTTGAAGCAGTGGAGGGCGGATTTAAAATCCAAATGGCGCTTATCAACGGACAAGTATAGTGGCTCTAAACTATTTGGTCCTATTCTGGAACCTTGTCTTATAGAAGGGAAAGATAAGCGCAAAATTCTTGCTCACCCTTCTAAGAGGCCGGACAAAAGGCCTCAGCAGGAATTTTGCAGGCAAGCCTTTCATTCAAGTGGTTCATGGGAGTGGAAGCAGCCCTTTTGGGCCGGTCAATCCTGGGATTGGACCAGGAGTTCTAGACCCTTCTTTCTCAAGCAGGACAGACAGCTGGAACGCCAAGGTCAGGTGCCCAGAGGTCAATTCCAATCAAAGCATTCCTTTCGTGGATCAGGGGCCGTCCTTACAGGTGGTCCAAGTGACGCCAATGGAGATCCTCCTATTGGCAGTCGCTTAGCATTGTTCAGCGATGCTTGGGACGCCACCACAAATGACTCTTGGGTAAGGGAGACAGTAAGGTAGGGTCTCGCCCTCGAGTTTCTATCAATCCCTCCAGACCGTTTTATTCAATGCCCCACATCAAGAAACTCAAGCAAGGCCGAGTTGGTATCCACGGCCATCTCCCACCTATTAGAGATCGAGGCCATAGAACCGGTGCCCCCGGGTCAGATGGGAAAGGGGTTCTATTCCATTCTATTCGTTGTTCCGAAGGCCTCGGGGGGCTGGAGGGCCATATTGGATCTAAAGGGACTCAATTATTTCCTAGTCTACAGGAAATTCAAGATGCAGTCCCTCAGATCTATTCTAGCCAGTATCAGGAAAGGTTATTTCCTCTCCTCTATAGACCTGACGGAGGCGTACCTCCATATTCCCATTCTCCCACAACACCGCAGATTCCTCTGGTTCTGTCACGCGCACCGGCATTATCAGTACCGGGCCCTGCCATTAGGACTGTCCTCAGCACCTCGGGTGTTCACAAAAATGTTGGCAGTTTTGGCTGCCCATCTCAGGTTGATTCCGGTGCGCGTGCAGTGCTATCTGGACGATATAATTATCCAGTCCAGTTCCTTCCATTCTGCCCAATCAAATCTTCAAATCACAATCAATACTCTTCAAGTTCACGGATTTTCCGTGAACTTCAAGAAGAGTCACATGAACCCCTCAACTCGTCTCCTCCATCTGGGAGCACTCATAGATTCCAATCTTTGCATGGTTTACCTCTCTCAGGACCGCAAAGATAGTATACGGGCACTTGCCCTCAAGATACGGAGGGAGAAGAAGGTTCCGCTGGTCCAGCTGTCCCAGTTGTTGGGGAAGATGGTCTCCTGCCTGGGGATTGTTCCGTGGGCCAGGCTCCATTCCAGGAGGCTCCAGTGGTTCCTCCTTCCCTTCCAGAAATGGAACGTGAGTGCTTCCACAAGGAAGGTAAGAGTTCCGTTCCACACACTGCTGTCCCTCGCGTGGTGGACCTCACCGGCAATAGACAAAGGTTCCCTGTTCAAGGAACCTACAAGGCTCACGTTGATGCACATGGCGCAGGGTCAATGGTCCCGGTCAGATTTAACGCACAACATCAACTGGCTGGAACTCAGGGCAATCCATCTAGCACTCCGTCACTTTTCCTCCCTCATGGCGGGCAGGCACGTGCTGATCTTGACGGATAACGTGGCCGCCAAGGCCCATGTCAACAGACAGGGAGGGACCCGGTCTTGGTCTCTCATGTTGGAGGCCTGGGATCTGGGTCTGTGGGCGGAGTCCAACCTGGAATCCATTCTTGCAGCTGATCAAGTACTGCTCGATAGATGCAGGCCTCAGAGAGGTGGTCGTCTAATCCCTCAATGAAGTGATGGATTAGGGATTGCTCAGGCCACCCCTCTATTCGACCTGCTATCTTGCGAAACTCTCGCACGTACTCCAGGGCAGGCCTGCCGGCTTGTTTTATTTTGTGGATTTGTTCTCCTGCTTTGAGGCCAATGGATGGGTCCTCAAATCTTTCTCTCAGCCCTAGGAGGAAGAGGTGGGGGGCCTCCAATTCAGGGGCTTGCTCATTATATACAGTAAATTGTTCAGCCATTTGGATGCTTCTCCCTCTAGGCTGGACGCAATCACATCGACCACGGTGCCTGGGTCTGGGTAGAGATAGGCCCAGCGATTCAAATGGGAGCGCACTTGATTAAGGAAGAAAATCAGCTTTTCTGGGTCCCCACTGAAGGTTGCTCTAAAAGGTGGAGTCCCCCACTGCAGCTGTTGTACCCCCAGTTGCTGCTGCATGCCCAGGGGTTGCACGTTCAGGTGCTGTGGCCACGCTGCCTACTGCTATAGGCCCCTCAGTGGTTGCTGTACGTTTGGGGGTGGTGACCAATCTCCTTGCTGTCGTCGTCCCCCCACCAGCTGCTGATCTCCTGGCTTCTGTATCACCCCAAGCTGTTGCAAGGTCTCTATTAGCTGTGGCAAGCTCAGAGGCTGCTGAACATCCACCTGCGGGGGATGCCAAATTCCCCATTGCTGCAGTGGCCTCAGACTGCGATTCCCTCTCTCTTCAGGGATGGAGTCCCTGGCAGGGGAAGAAAGGGTCTGAAAGGCTGTCTGATCTGCAATGGAGGGGCTGTAGGCTCCTCTCTGCAGGAGTTGATTTCTACTTCTCACCTCTAGCTTTTCAAATCTTTCCAGTGACTCACCCGACCCTTCAGTGGCAGACGATCTGGTAGCTCTCCACCAGTCTGCGTTTACCTTTGAGGGTGGCAAGACAGTCTCGAGGCATCTGGAGTCTCCGTTGGGCTGGGGCTGGGCTGACGGCCAGATCAGCTCTCCTAGCTGCTTGGGTTCTGCTTTTATCTGCCAAAACTCATCTTCCCGCAGTATGCTATCTGTTGCTTCCCCCTCTGGGGTATCAGTAGCTGCCGGATCATCATCTTCAAGCAGGTACTCTTTTCCCATAATGAAATTTCCTCCTGAATCTTTGCCAGCTTCTCTCAAGTCTAGAGACAGCGGCTGGGGTTCAGGACCCCAGGCAGTTTGAAAAGAAGGAAGATCTTGGCATGATGTCATGGTTCTGACTAATGGAACACTTCAAAGAACTTCCAGGCATTGTTTATCCTAAAAAGACTTTAATCATGTAAACACAGTATTGGCAAGACATGGAGGGATGCCAAGATCTGAATTCCCTCCCCTGCACATAACATTCCAGCCTATTCCCCTCTATTTTGCAGTCATAAATCACGTTCTCCAATCAGCCCGAAGGGCAAAGGTTCACTTCCATTCTGTAGCCAGCTATTCCTTATCTTAATTACTCCACACATACATTCTTTCTCCTCCCCTCCCAGCATCATCTAAGTTAACTCTAAAAATACCAGACAGTTCTGCATATTTTGTCAAAGCAAGAATATCCAATGTTATCAGTGTTGACACTTTTCTTCAGAGAGGGAAAATAAACTTTTAAAAAATCACATGCTGAAAAAAATGGAGGACAAAAATAAGACACATGGAATTTCAGGAAAGTCCTATGTGTAGAATTTCTAATTTCTAGCCAATGTAGAGATCCCAGTTTTTGACAGATTTGCCTTTTTTGAGGGGGAAAGTAGACTCCTTAATCTCATCTAGATTTTAAATTTCTTCTAGGTTTTATACAGTGGTGAGAAAATGTCACTTGTTTCCATTGCAATATTATATAAATAAGAATTTCAAAATAACAATCCGGGAAATAGATCAGATTACGTGAGCCAATCCAAACTGGAAGAGACATCACCTCAGTTTTTATGAATACTCAACCATTCCACTCATGTTTCCCCATTTATTCTACTGAACTGGAGTCATGGATTCTAGTGACTCTGAAATATGTATACATTTTATTTTTTAGATTTTTATCCTGTCTCTATTATTTTCATAAATAACTCAAAGTGGTAAACTTACCTAATTCTACTTCCTCTTCATATTTTCCTTCCCACTACAACCATGTGAGGTAAGTTGGGCTGAGAAGTGGTGACTGGCCCAAGGTCATTGGTAATTTGAATTCAGTTATGTTAAGGGAGGGATTTTTACTTTAGCTCATATTAATGTCAGAGCCAGAAAACAGCTCAATGATCATAATTCCACTTGAGATGAAAATTATATTTCCCTCAAAATAGTGCCTCCATTCTTTTTTTACTTCTGTTTTGAATTAGTAGGATTGTCCATTACTTTGATTTTGAAAAAATGCTGTCTCCTTACTAGCAATGCAAGCAGACAATTCAAAAGAGAGAATGGAGCCTCAGAGCCCCATCATATTCTGGGTTTTGCTTCTATTATTTGTTAAACCACCAGCCACCACTTGCAGGGTTGCCAACCTAAATCACAGGCTTATTTGAAGATTCACTTGAGCCTTTTCTGGTATTTTATGCTTGTTAGTCCACAGAAATGGAACTTAAGGAGCTTCTTCCTAGTCAACTTGTCTTATCATGGTGCTGTACTTTGTCTTGCCTTCCTAACACCTGCTGCAGTCACTATCTGCCTATAGTCCTGAAGAGAAAGATTAGTTGCCAAGTTTGCTATTTCTCTCAGACTTATTAATCTCCTCCAGTTGGTGTGGGATGGCTGTGAAGTATCAGCAGAGTTACAGAGCAATTCTTATCTCAGATTACACCACTTGTACATGTATCTGTTTGTCCATGAGAGTCTCTGCCAGGAATTTCTTAAATACTTCCCTGAGATAAAAAAAGCAAGTGATTCTTAGGCTTCTTGTGCACTGAGCATGGCTTTTAGTTTCACAGTGCAGCTGATATTCAAACATTGAGTTCACTTCTATGATAAACCTCCCATACGCAAGTATAGCCATTTCTATGACCTTTTTTTGCTTCACAATGTTATTGGTATGAAAGGGATGAGAGAAGACTTTCACCCCATGGATTCCCAAACATGTCTAATGGATATCGTACACTGTCTCAGCATCTCAATGACCTGAAGAAGGAGAACTTCAGCCTTAAGTTGCGCATCTACTTCTTGGAGGACCACATCCAGCAAAAGTATGAAGACAATAGAGAGGACATCTACAGAAAGGTGAGTTGGTAGTTTTTGTTTGTTTGCTTGTTTGTTTGTTTGTTTATTTATTCATCAAACAAAAATTATAAATTCAAACAAAATGAAAGAACTAAAACGTGACAGGTATGATAGCCATGCTAGTGCACTTATGCACATCCCCTTAGGGACCTCTTAAATATGGGGTGAGGCCCACAGAAGTTAAGTTGGAATTAAAACTGTGAAAGTTAGTAGCTGAGACAACTGAATTGGGTAAGATATTCCAGACTTTGATAACTCTTTTACAAAAATCATTTTTTTTTGCAATCAAGTTTAAAGTGATTTACATTAAATTTAAAGTAATTGTTTGCATGCATTACATTATGATTAAAACTAAAGAAATCGTTCACAGGTAAGTTGTTACTATGTATAATTTTGTATGCAATACCTAAATCTGACTGCAAATATCGCAGTTCTAAACTATCCAAACCAAGAATTTCAAGCCTAGTAGCATTAAGCTATTCTATTTTGGACAGGTGTACAAGAACTTTGCTTGAAAAGTACTTCTGCACTCGCTTGATTGTATTAATGTCTGATATGTGGTAAGGTTTCCAAACAGCTGAACAATATTCTAGGATTGGCCTAATGTATGTTTTATAAGCTCTAGTGAGCAATACAGTATTTCCACACAAAAAAACTTTGTAGAATTAAATTCAAACTTTTAATGCTTTTTTAGCAATGCTGTTACAATGAATTTTATAACATAAATCATTCGAAATGAGTATACCCAGGTCCTGGAGGATGGGGTGGTGATTCCACAATTGAACTTTTTTGAATCTTTAGGCAGAGTATATTTTTATTTTTATACTATCTTGAAAAAAGTCACTGTAGGAAACTAATAATGTTTCAACATGCTTAAATGATTTGTTTTGTCACTGTTTTGCTCCTGGTAAAGTTGGCTTTCAGTCAGGACCAACAGCTATTTCACTAAAGAGGGAGACAGGATTCTGATTCAACTACCTCTGCTGTTATCAGCTTTTATGCATAATTTCTTAAGAAAAATTATTCATGTATAGTCTCCAAAAATCCTGTAAGAATAGTGTGATATATCAAGTACCTATATGAATTTATATGTATATGTTCAGGGAACTGAGGACAAACCCAAGATGAAACGTTGCAGTGCCTGGGTCTATGTACAATTTTAGTTGTAAAAAATAAAGGTGGGACATAATTTTAATAAATAAATGTAATGGCATGTAGTCCTCTCATTATTAAATATGCCTATAACTACTTTCACCTATAGCATGAAAATCATCAGTATAATCTGGCCTATCTGGTAATTAAATTAAACTATATTAATAATTTATGTTAATTTTGAACCTGGAAAGTGATATCATTTAACAGTGTGTCAACAGTAAAATATAGAATACAATATCATATTTGGGCAAATAAAACATTTTTAAAGATGACTTTTTATTTAGAGGTTTGCTGATGGAAAGTAAGGCTTAAATGTACAGCTGATGAATACACCAGGTGCCCACCAAAAGAAATTGCCAGGTAGTTCAGATGTATTACTTGACAGACTTGGGCTAACCAATATTTCTGCATTAATAGATTTTATAGCATTTTTGTTTTTCTACTCTTTCTCAACAAATTAAATATAAAAGGATGCATCTAAAACACTCTACTGCTTAAAATACTGGAGAGACCATCTCAGTATTTCAAATGCTGAAATAATAACTTTTAAGCTGTGTTGTGAGAAATCCTGATGTTCCTTAGATGATTATCTGGGAGTTTCCACATAAAGGCCACAAATGGTAGAAAAGCTTTCTTGAAAGACAGCTTGCCTGTCACTGTTAATTTTCTTGACAATCTGCAGCTGTTACAAGAGATCAGACTTGTTTGGGGGCACATTCTCTATTCATTCAGTGGTGGAATGATGGACAAATGGACTTCAAGCATGTATGGTCTGTTTTGATTGTTTACTAGAACAGGGGGCTCCACCCCCGGTCCATGGACCGGTACTGAGCTGCAACAAGCCAGCAACCGGTCCGCATAAACAAGCAAAGTCCCATCTGTGGGATGCAGGCAGCAGACAAAACCACGCATCTTCTGGTCCACGGAAAACCTCTCTCCATGGAACCAGTCCCTGGTGCCTAAAAGGTTGGGGACCTCTGTACTAGAATACTGACTCTGCCAACTGGAGCTAAATACAAATAAAGGCTCAGAAGAAAAAGACTCTGTAGCATATATATCACACTGACACACACACACATATATATATCTTTTTCTGAAAGACTAATGTGTTTTAATATAACTATCGGACTCTATTTGCATAATACAGATACCCATTTTCAACCATGATATAATAGTGAACCATAAACTCAACACAGAGGTGTGTTCTCAGCAAAAAAAGGTTGGCTTATTTGCGATTTATATGCCATGAAATACAAGCATTAAAACAAAGTTGAAAAAGTCTAAAATATCCAATTAATACTTCTTATTTTACAAATGAGGAACACTGAGACTTAGAGATAATGCATTGCCTCTAGATCAGTTAGGAAATCTTAAAATATCAGGAATCAAAAACTGTTGGAGATCTACTACTATAAATTACAAAATAAATCTGTCAGGAGAATGATGTATATTTATTTATTTATTTATTTAATCACCTTGTCATAGATTCTGTTTTTAAAGTTCTCATTTAAATTTGTTTTCCCCACAGTGTTCAAAAGACATTTTTCCTTGTTAAGATTTTCTTAAGAGTTAATTACACTTAAGTATTTAAGTCTTTTTCCTTATACAAGCCATTCCAATACTTTTACGTTTCTCATATCTTAAAACAAAAACAAAGAAAAGAGAAGGAAAAAAGAAAGAATATACTACTTGAAAAACATGTCCTTCTTAAGCTAAAATACATTTATGTCCAAAAATATTTCTATTCTTTTTAAACATATTCAAACCAATATTTAATCTTTAAGTATTCCGTCTAATAAATCCACAGCTAATCTTTTAAAACTATTCAAAACATTCTTATTAATTAAAATTTTCTCAAAATCCATTATCCTTAAGTGTCTAAAACATTTCCCTCATATAAATCATCCCAACATTTTTATATTTCTCATATCATAAACAAAGAATCCTCAATTCATCATGCAACCAAACTTTTAAGAGTGGTCAAGAATGTATTTTCTTCTGCCCTTTTGGGGGGCGTGGTGGTCCAGAAAGTAGTATTTGTGCATCTGCAGGCATTCTTGAGGAGAAGGTTTTTCAGTGCTCTTTAGTCTGAGTTACAGCTTGATCTTGGGCTAAAAGTAGTAATGGTTCACTTTCTCCTATGGGAACATGGCACAAAGAATGTATTTCTATTGCTGCTGCTTTACCTATCTCATCAGAAACTTTTGATACAGTTGGTGAATGTGACTCTATGGCAAACACAGTTGTGTACCCTTTTTACAGAGGAATAAGATTTGGAGCATCAGCTAGGGCAATACCTGTCTTGCTATATATATATATTTAATTTTTGAAAAGTATCAACAACTATAGAAATAAGTGATCCAATACAATAAATCTTTTCAACCTGGTATCTTCATGATATATTTAAATGTAACTTTTGAAATCCCTGGTCTCCTTGATATTGACTAATGGTAGTTGGAAAACAGCAGAAGTTGTAATTGAACACACTAGAAAGGCATCAAGTTTAGAAAAAGTTCAAGGTCAAGGTCATATGGATTACTAAAATGTTTGGACAACATTCTCCATTAAAAATTTCTGAGAAAGCATGTTTATCAAGGATAAGAGATAAATCAGGACATAGCATGGAGAAATATATGGACAATTTTTACAGTACAAAAAATTAATACCCATGGGGAAGGGTGAAACAAGTCTTTTACTATCCAAGAATGGAAAAGACTCAAAATCATAGACAACCACCACCCATCAAAATAGACTCTTGTTGATTCAAATTTAAATGAGAACTTTAAAAACAGAATCTATGACAAGGTGATTAAATAAATAAATAAATAAATATACATCATTCTCCTGACAGATTTATTTTGTAATTTATAGTAGTAGATCTCCAACAGTTTTTGATTCCTGATATTTTAAGATTTCCTAACTGATCTAGAGGCAATGCATTATCTCTAAGTCTCAGTGTTCCTCATTTGTAAAATAAGAAGTATTAATTGGATATTTTAGACTTTTTCAACTTTGTTTTAATGCTTGTATTTCATGGCATATAAATCGCAAATAAGCCAACCTTTTTTTGCTGAGAACACACCTCTGTGTTGAGTTTATGGTTCACTATTATATCATGGTTGA